AACTTTGCCTACTGATCAACCGTTACAAATGTGTGCGGGCGCAGTAAAATCAGATAAAATAATGCATTACCACGCATTTTGAATTTAGAAGATAAAAAGGACAGAATGTTTTAGATTTTTTTGATTAATTTTTCGTCACTATTTGCCTATATTACTTAGTCTGAACGTTCTCTTCAAATTTGGCCGGTTATTGCAAAATGACAACGTATACCCTTCTTGTTCACAGAATAAAGTATTGCGAAAATGTAACCATCCATTCGTCTAAAAGCAGGTCGCACTAAGGTTTGGAGTGTGACTTTTTAATCTTCAACCGAGGGCAGTGGGTCGTGCACTTTTCTTGTTGGTAGAAAAGGGTCCCTGTTGTTAGGAAATAGATATATTAAAAACTGGCCAAGTGCGTGTCGGGCTACGCACAATGTAGAGGCAGGGTTCCGTAGTTGCCCGTCACAATACGTGGGCTTTCTTGATAATGAGCATAATAAGTGAGTTCGCGGTTTGACCGCTATAACGACAAAAATGGGCCCAAACAGGAAGATCGTAACTGAAGGACTTATTTTCAAATCAGACTTATAGGGAGTGTGTATTCAAAAAAGACAAAAAAGAAACTGTTCGATTTTGACAATAATACACTTTACATCAAAATCATTCACATGCCAAAGTACAAAGATGGTCATAGTTGACTATCTATCTATATATTCCCGGCAGTGCAACCCTAAGGTATACATATATGACCGTAACGAATCTTCACGTAAACCACCGCTGTCTTAAATTATTCTGAGGTAGCCCACGTAAACCAAGAGTGTGACGAATGAACATGTGAGGCTATATGATTGTATGGATACTTTAAATGAGTCCTACAATAACTACGAATTAAAAAATAAGTGAAAGTAAGTAAGTAAGTAAGAAAGATCCTCCCTGCCTATCCTATCCCGAAATTAAAAAGTAGAGCTATAGTACACACAAACTTGAGAGTTATAGATCTTCCAGAGGAACTCAGAGACTGTTGTGATACATTTTGTAGTAACAAGGAACATCACGCTGTATTTTATAATATGTACGGTAATATTATAAATATACTATCACTGGCAGCAATTCGTACATATAGGGATACATGTAGAAAAAAGGGAGGTTACGTGACGGGGTGGAATAAGCACGTCGCGGGCCCACATCGGGAGGCGCGGCTTAAATTTCAAGAGTTGTTGATGGCTGGGCAGCCGTCCAGGGGTCGCGTATTTGAAGAGATGTCAGAATCTAGAAAGCATTTGAAAGCCAAATTAAAATGGTGTTAAAACAGGACAAGAACAGCTAAAGATGGATATTATTGCGACAAATCACTCTTCTAAAGACTTTAAAAGCTTCTGGAAGAACACAAACAAAATGCATGTGCAAACAAAAGCCAAGTCTTTCAGTGAGTGTTGGGGGTGTTTATGATCACAAGGATATTGCGGATGCATTCAGATGCAATTTTACTGTAAGGTCACCCTTAAATGTCGTTTCAGGTTTGAATTTGAGCCAGGCTGAGACTATCATGACAGAACGAATTGAAAAGATACCTGCAAAAAAAAAAAATAGAAAAAATATTTAAAGAGATGGTAAGAGGAAAATCGCCTTGTTATGATGGTCTCAGCATCGAACACTTCAGATATGCTGGGGTGCATCTTCCGCGAGTCCTTTCACTGTTTTACAGCCTGTGTTTGGGTCACTCTTACTTACCCGAACCACTGATGAGGACTATTGTAGTACCCGTTGTTAAAAATAAAACTGGGGACACATCCGACATGGGTAATTACCGAAATATCTCGCTTGCAACCACTGCAGCCAAGGTGTTTGATAGTCTGTTAAATGAGTGTCTCAACAAATACGTACTAATAAACGATGCACAATTTGGGTTTAAGCCGAATTTATCGACGGAGAGCGCCATTTACTGTCTGAAACACACTGTCAAATACTACACCGTAAGGCGGACGCCGATGTACGCGTGTTTCCTCGACTTATCGAAAGCTTTTGACCTGGTCTCATACGACATGCTGTGGGGCAAGTTGAGGGACGCGGGTGTGCCGGCGGAGTACACGGCTCTACTAAGATACTGGTATGCTAACCAGCGTAACCAGGTGAGGTGGGTTGGAGCTCTGTCGTAAGAATACAGGCTGGAATGCGGTGTAAGGCAGGGTGGCTTAAGCTCTCCACTCTTGTTCAACCTGTATGTAAACCAACTGATTGAACGACTTAGCAGCACACATGTTGGCTGCCACATCGATGACATATGTGTCAACAACATAAGCTATGCTGACGACATGGTGCTGCTCAGTCCTCCTATAGCAGGACTGAGGAAACTGCTTTCTATCTGCGAGACATATGCGGAGGAGCATGGCCTTAAATACAACTCAAAAAAGAGTGAAATATTAGTATTTAAGGCACCGAAACGGAAGCCACGACATGTGCCACCCGTATGTCTCGATGGTTTACCTCTGAAAGTCTAACAGAAGTTCAAATATCTCGGTCATATAGTTACGAGCGACCTAGGAGATGATGAGGATATTGAGCGAGAGCGCAGAGCGTTGTCGGTAAGGGGCAATATCCTTGCCCGCAGATTCGCCCGGTGCACTGCAGACGTGAAAGTAACTTTATTTAAAGCGTTCTGTCAGTCTTTCTATACCGGTTGTCTGTGGGTGACTTATACACGCCGGACCTACAGCGCCCTGCGTGTTCAATATAATAACGCTTTTAGAATGCTGTTGAGGCTGCCGTGGCGCTGTAGTGCCTCTAAAATGTTCGCAGACGCACACACTAAAGACTTTTTCGCCATAATGCGCAGAAAAGCAGCGTCTCTCCTACAGCGCTTACGTACCAGCAACAACGGCATCCTAAGGGTAAATGCTGCCAGGCCCGACTGCCCCATATTGCACCACTGTATGACGGTAGCTATTGGGCGAAGAAAATAATTTGTACATAATTCACATTAACTAACAATACTAACTTACAAGTTAAGGAAAAATTGTTACTAACATACTAACAATCTATGGATGTTCCTTACGTCTGAAATAAACACTTATTATTATTATTATTATAGTAGTAACGCATATAAGTCGTTTTCTTCATATAAAATGTTTATTTTTAACAGTTTACAATAATAGTTTACAATACAAAGTTATACAATGCAGCTAGTTTTAGGTCATCTATAGAGTTTAATGAAATTTTTAATAATCCAAATGCATTTTAGAAAATGCTCGACTATTACTCGTTAACTTCTTAATTCTACTTAGCTGTGATAGTTTTCTTTTTATACTTCTATTGTGCACACTTTTCAAAAACAGCGGTTTATTTGGTAGAGTGGGGGGGGGGGGGGGGGGCACATGACTAATGAAAAATACCACTTTAAAGCTAAATATTTCACAAACGGACCCCTGAATCGAATATATGTTGTTCCACACCCCCAGTGTTTTTGAAAGATCTATCCAACGATATCCCACATGATGGCATAGACGGGTAAAAACATCATCACAGTTATCTAGGCGGGATTAATATCTATAACTAAGCCAAATTACAGATTTTTAGCACCTAGGGTCTCTGAGCAAAACCGCGGACGGACGGACGGACATGGCGAAACTAGAAGGGTTCATTGTTGTGTAACTACGGAACCCTAAAAACGATGTAGGTACTTACAACCAATAAAACTTTTGGTAAAAGAACTAAAGATTAAAATAATTTCACATATTGATGACTGTCTTCAATATGTTACTGTTTCCGTAATCGAACTCGATCGCTTGGCAGAATCGTAGGCAATTGCTGTTTTTTATTTTTTTACCGACTTCAAAAAGGAGGAGGTATCCTCCTATATACCTCATAAATTTTTCTCCGTGAACCGAGTTCGATTATTATTTATTTGAAAGCTGGTGCTTCTCATGTGGTGTCATATAAATTTGGTCTGACCAGTAGTTTTTGAGATATCCTTAATAATATACATTGAAGTCGGTTGTACAAAATTTTTTATTATATTATTTATGACTCTGCCGCCCATCTTTTCTTTTTAAGAAGAATGAAACACTAGCTATTTTCTTCATTATCGTGGAAACAGTTTACATACATAAATTGCACGATGCCAAATATCCAGACACGTAATAATTATTTGGGGGATACAAATACTCGTTCCGTGCGGGATCCGAACTCCCGCCCTCAGCCTAAACTACTGCGTCACGGAGCCATCGTCATCTCCTGGTTTGTTTCCCTGTGTCACACTATGATGCTATGGGATAGTGAATATCCTTACACCGCCGGTACACGGTCAACTTCATTATGTGAAATTGATTTATTCGCCTTAATTCTTTCAAGTCTGCTTTTAAATTTTATTAAGAGTTTAATTTTTTGATCGTTTAGAGTCAACTAAGGCTTTTAAGGTAACTAGAATGTCTTATAAATTCTTTCATTTAAAACATCAAACCAATTTTTCCATCAATGGACGGAGATATCGCGTACATACCAAAAAAAAGAAAAAGAAAAGAAAGAAAGGACATACTATCGAATTACAATTGAATTAACAACCACAATTTTATATACTTAGTCTGAACCTTCTCTTATACTTCTCTGAACCTTCTTTATACGTGGTAGAGCCATGCTGCAGCTATATTAGTAGTATAGTTGTAGCACGAATGGGTCGGCTCGACCGGGGAAGGACCACGCTCTCACAGAATACCAGCGTCAAATAGCATCTTAACACTGCTGTGTTTCGTATGGTGAGTGTAGAGAACCGGAGACCCTTTTTACTGGAAAAGAGGCATTCCATCTTAGTCTTCACGGGTGACAACGCATCTGCATTTTGATTTGCAAATGAGGATAAATGTAGATGTCTATGGGCCACAGCAACCACTTACCATCAGGTGAACTGTGTGCTCGTTTGTCACCCTATCATATAAAAAAAATATACTACATTCGTACACATATTTTTTTATTTATTAATTTTAAGGTTGTACATCATAAAAATCATTAATCTTTTATTAAGTATATTATACACGATCTGGCAATTTGTCCAATAGAGATTCCATTCCCGAATTTCCGGTCTGCATCGAAATATAATAGGGTAAGTCAAATATGTCAAGATGCTCCAAATCTAACTTCGGTGTAGTCGGTTTCTTGGGCTTTTCATTGTTTTTCTTAAGACTATCTACATACGACTTCATGTTGCACCATTTGCAACTTTCTGGGTTTAATTGTAAATAACGACGCATTTCCGCCATATTGTATTTTGTGTCGTGGTTGGAAAATGCAGGTCTTGCTGTTAGAAATATAATAGTTATTGTTGTTGCTAAGAATAATGTCATCTGCAATTGAGAATATGCATTTATAAAGTTAGTAATGTGTGGATAACGATATACAAAGATCTACTTTTATGATCATCGCCTTTTGGACCCTATCTAATAAATTTTACAATCTGACACTATTACATGTGTGTAAATACACACATCAAAATAATTTTAAAGTAAATACCGTTCCAAAATACGCCGGCAGTTTTTGACGAAATTGAATCAATTTTATTTTACAAATATGTGTAAGTATTTTAACATTTAACAAAAAATAATAAACGCCAACACACCTGACAAAATTGTATTACAATTCCACAATAATATAAATTTGTAACTACACCTATTCTGCACTAATTAAAACAAGTTTTTCTGATAAATTTGTAAAATATTGCTTTTAAAGTAAAAACCTAAATTGAATAAAATTATGTAAAAATTGTAGCTACATTTTGTGTATTTTTTATCATGACAATTATGTAATTATTAATTTTTATAGAACAAAAATATATAAATGGTTATTACAAATTCTAAATTGAAACTTTTATTACATATTAGATAGACCCTAGGCGAATTATTGAGTAGGAACTAAAATCCCATTAAAACGCGTGCGCGTGCAAGTTATAGCGCATACATATATTGCCACAAATATTTTGCTCTGTATATGTGTACAATATTAAATCACACTTTGTCTGTACTACACGCTATATGTGAAAAAACAGTTTGCTTGAATTAGATTTATTATAAACTGATGTTAGAAAATCTGTATATTGTGGTAGAGCCATCCTGCAGCTTTAATAGTAGTATAGTTGTAGTACGAATGGGTTGACTCGACCGGGGAGGGAAGCTCTCACGGCATACCAGCGTAAAATAGCAGCTTAACGCTACTGTGTTTCGCATGGTGAGTGTAGAAAACCGTATTCTCTTTTTATTGAAAACGATGCATTCCATCTTAGTCCTTACAGGAGACAACGCATCTGCATTTTGATGTACGAGGGTGTGTTTTTAAGTTCGCGGAATGGGTAGGTAGGTGATAAGTGGGGACGTCGCTGAATTACGTGCTAATTGAGCCACTCATTCTTAGTATAAATGCCGGGTTTTATTGTAATTAGATCATTAGTCTTTGAGTTATCGTCAACCAAACAAGTCAATCGGGATGTCTATGGGCCACAGCAACCACTTACCACCAGGTGGACTGTGTGCTCGTTTGTACACAACATTACTACACAATCGCTCCTCTCAGTACTGCAATCTTTAATACTGTAGAAGACCGTAGAACCTTTGTTTGAAGTGGGTTGAAGCAGTAGCAATTATTTAGTTTGTTTGTCACTTCTGTTTTATAAGAAAAGGTGGATTGTGTACTCATTTGCCACTCACACTTGTATTAAAATAATTCATCATGTCGCACCTCCATTTTCATCCATCACCATGCCTAAAACAATAAGTAAAAGCTTTTACAAAAATTTACTTCGCAAATATCCGCGTTATAAAATAAAATGATGTGTCTTACCTAGTATGAAGAAGCACCTCCCGCCCTCCCTCAATTGCGTGCACTATCCCCGTCACCACTAATCCCAGCACCGCTACTCCCAACACCACTACACTAGGCAAGACACACCACTGACGATAATACGACACGTGTTTCGCCTCTACACGAGGCATCCTCAGGTGATATAGACTCTACTGTGGCTAACCGCTAAGTATGTAGTGACGGTGTATGTGGTGCTAGTATGTGGTGACGGGGATAGTGCACGCAATTGAGGGAGGGCGGGAGGTGCTCTTCATACTAGGTAAGACACATCATTTTATTTTATAACGCGGATATTTGCGAAGTAAATTTTTGTAAAAGCTTTTATATAATGGATTTCCACAAAGTAACGCCTGATTCTATTAATTATAAAACAATAAGGTTAAATTCATACCTTGTGCGTTTTTGTTATGTAATCAACACGTCATGAATAAAGGTATTTCATTCGTAAACTTACCTCCATGTAAGTCGTATTATGCTAAATTTCATTTTCTTAAAAAAAATAATAACTTTTTCTAGCAATAACGCCCTTTTCAGTGTTGGCTTTATAATTGAAAATCTCAAGCGTGAAATTGCATTCTTAACTTTTTAATTATTCACGTAACCGTTGTATAGTTAGTTTTTTGGCGAAGTTATACTGCATGCGAGGCGATATTAAAGTTTCTTTTCTAGTAATTCTTCTTTTCTTTTCTTTCTTCTGACAGCTAGGTAGCGCAGAAGCTGTTTGTTTTTCGTTTGATAGTGACGGTTTGGACCGTGAGTTCGATTCCCAATCAAATCAAGTTTATTATGACCCTCAAATAATTACTCTATACTTTCATGTGGTGATGGTGAAGAATATCCACTACCCCATATCGTCCCATGAGTGTCGTAAAAGGCGACAGAAGAAAACACACTAAGGGGTGGTCAGTAGCGTCTTTCTTGTAACTAATAACAAAACAATTAAAAAAAAACCCGCAACAAAAAGTGGTGATTATCTTCAAATGATTGAAAAGATTTTCTTGTAGCTAAGAACACTCTCTGTTAGTTATTATACATTTATATTGGCAACACTGATTATAGAATCTATGATCTGAGTGTCTTTGGCGGATGTTGTTGCGTATATATCTTGTAATGTAAAAATGTGTGATTTTTGATGATTGTCCTTAAGTTTAAGAATAAGTTAATAAAAGTAAAATAATAATAATAATAAAAAAATAAAAATGTTTTATTCTTCAGGCATCGTAGGCCCATAACGTATTAGTAATAGAAATAAAACTTAAGAACTAATGTTAGTTAATAAAACAAGACAGAAATATACGAAAAATTGTGGGTTTTATCAATCTCCATTTAGTAAATTTAGCTTGTCAAACCTACCCAGTGTAAGGCCATCTAGCCGCTCCGCAAAGACCCTCAAGACACTGTTCGAGCTTTTCCTCACTCTGTGCATCAATGATCCCACTTTTTTACGCATGATCGCTGTATAAAGCTGTAAAGGTCATTAATAAAACTAGGAACATATAATAAAGAAGGAAGTTTATTTAACCAATTACATTAACACTCTTGATCAAGCCACAAAAAACTAAATCTAAACCGGTTCATCCGTTTGGGAGCTACGGTGCCACAGACAGACAGACAAATACACAGAAACACAGATGTAAACGTTACACATATTGCCTCTTTTTCATCGTGGGCTAAAAAAAAACTGCGGTTGCCACCCACACGCCAAGCGAATGCAAATATTCAAAATATGCAAATAGTCAATCTATGGGAGAGGACTGTGTTTGGCGGTGGACTTTTGAAAGGCTGTATTGGTAACGAATACCTTTCAGACTCCTACCTAGATATACATCTAGGCAGAAAAAGCCTTATTAAGCCCTACGTGGTAGGACATGCCACCTAGGGCTTAATAAGACTATTTATGGTACAGTCAGTACGGATAAATAATGGGATTAGAAATGGCGGCTCATCGAGCACGTATGTACCGTCAACATGCACAGTATCAATAGCGAAAACCCGCTAATAACGGTATATCGTTCGGTTAATTAGAAATTTTCTATTAATAAGAAAATATTTGAAAATAATAAACTAGCGAACCGCTCTGGTTTCGCCTCGTTGGGATCTATTAATGTGGCATTATTTTCACTTAAGATACTCATTATAGACCATTTATTTTATCTTATCATTATTTCTATATTCATAAAATTTCAAAAATTTTTAGATAAAATTTAGTCTAGATCACTCCTGGTATTACTCTCTATTTGTTCATACAGTTTTATTACAATCGGTTCAGCCATTCCGAAGATTAGCTTGGACAGACAGACAAACGAAAATTTGCAAAATGGTTACTCATGTATCAGTAGCATGGTAATATTTTATACAAACATATAAACAAATAAAATCAAAAATGATTTTATTTGGTAGACACGTTAAAACCGGTGCTAACTCCGAAGCACACGTCTTCAGCACAATGGGAGGACTCCATCAGGCCCACTCGACTTGCTGACGTCCAGGAAGAAGAGTGCTTTACGAACTGAGCGCTGTGTAAATCGCACATCCGGCATGGAGCACTCACACCGCGGGATGGTCGACGGTGTATTCCCCCCGTCATCTAGAGCCGAGTTAGACGCAAAGAGAGAGCATAAATGATCGGCTTTCTTCTTTGCGGCATGGGCCAGTGAGTCGTCCTCTCTGTGCAGAGATGGAAGAAATGGCTGACAAAAGTTCCCTTGGACAGCCTTGGCGAGAGACTAGAATGCACGGGTTCCTGAAGTAAGGAAAATTAGCTTCTCGCCAATTCTGCCGATGTGCTCAGACCTTGCCTTGGCAATGACGCTTTTGAAGTACCTGGAGGCGGAATTATACTTCTTTTTAAGTGCGCTGGTGTTTAAATCCCGAGACGTTGATGCATCAGCCCAGGCCCGGTAGCACTCCTGCTTATAGCGTGATGCTATTTTACAGGAGCGACCAAACAATGGCTGGGATCTGCCTCCGATGGACACCACAGAGGATGGAATAAAAACTTCCATACCCTGATGTACCACATCAGCAACAGAATCGGCAACAACGCTGGGATTTTCCGGCGAGAAGCAAACCCGCGCCCAAGGGTAGGATGCAAAAAAACCGCATCCCATCCCAATCGGCCGACCTATAGTGCCAAACACGGCGGCAAGCTGCAGATCGCAACTGCGATGGGAGCGTGAGTGGCACCATACTTCGGATTAGACAATGGTCCAAAGAGCCCAGAGGGGCATTGACGGAGACCTGATATCCGTCCGAATGAGAGGTCAGCAGAAGGTCCAACAGGGAAGGTACATGATCCTCCACATCTGGTTGGGGAAGTAACCAGTTGTGTTAGACCATATGCCAAGGCAAAGTCATAGACAGATCTACCCGCATGATCGGTTAAACGGTAACTAATCCATTCAGCGTGGTGGGCGTTAAAATCATGGAGTATCATGATCTCTGTGGATGGAACCTGTTGTAGCACGGAGTCTGCAGCCATTTGGACGTGGTCGATGAGTCGGTCTGTGTCTGCATTACCACTATGGGACCTATAAAGTCACCCGTAGACGCGGGGATGGTCGTCGCGGTCTACGCGCAGCCATAGGATGAACAGGTCCGTACCTTCAAGACTAGATATATGAAGTACTAGTACTAGTAGACTAGAGATATGAAGTATCAGCCGGAGAGGGTACCTGAGTCTCCGTTAAAAAGAGCAAGGCCGGCTTCGCGTCTCTAGATGGTAATGGACAGCATAAGGTTGGAATGAAGTACCCTGATGTTGCAAAAATTCACGGATAGCGTGATAGGGGTTGCCTTGGTCATATCGCTCCGCTTGCCCCGAGCAGTTTTAGTCGCGAGTGGAATTTTGCCTCTCCCCTCCCCCTCCAGAATATGCCTAAGCACTCACGCTCAGGAGTGGAGTAGTTTGGTCGTAGATGCTCAATGAGGGATTCTCCAGGGGTGCTGGTACCCTCCTGCGGTAGTCTTTTCTTTATTTCCGCTACCATGTTGATGGGGGAGAGGGAGGGAGTTGGGCCTCCGGCCACCTGCACTCACCAAGCGCGACGCTGGTATTCTGTGAGGTCGTGGTACCACCCCGGTTCGAGCCGGCCCATCCGTGCGACAGCAAAAGCTGTCGCGTGTCTCTAACACTGTACTCTTTTTTAATTATCATTATTTTCACCGCAAAAATATGTAACCTAAGCTATCGTCGTTTTAAAGCTTGTTCCCTGCCGCCCGACGGCGCGACACCGCCGTTCATTCTCGCTCACTCTCGCTTCGGCTTTCGAATGGAAGAGTTGTGTCGCTTGCACTCAGAACACACATTACGCAACAGGACGTAAAATTAAAATATTGAAATAGATACTTAGGTTTATAGTGTTGGCGCAATGGGAAATAAGCATAATAAAAATAAGAAGCGAAATGAAAGCGAATATGAAAGTAATACTAGTCCATAGGAGTGTAAAAAAAATAAATATTAAATTAAAACCCGTAAAATAAAAAAGTGAAATTTTGAAACAAAATAAATCTATATCTATACAAATAAATATAATTGAAGTGTCTGTTTGTAATGTCAAAATAACAGCTTTTTACTAAATGCATGTGAAAGTAAATACGGTACTTATAACTAAAATACAATTTTTAAAATTTTTGTCTGTCTGTCTGTCCGTCTGTCTGTCTGTCTGTTTGTTCCGGCTAATCTCTGAAAAGGCTGGACCGATTTTGACGGGATTTTCACTGGCAGATAGCTGATGTCATAAGGAGTAACTTAGGCTACTTTTATTTTAGAAAAAGAATTAGGGTTCCGCGCAAAAAAAATAGAAACTCTAACACGCGAGCGAAGCCGCGGGGAA